AAGTTGTATTTTTTGAGAAATGTTTCACTGCAATAAACTCTTAAATTTGCTAATAAATATTAGTTTTCATGTATTTTTTTTTTTTTTTTTTTGTATTTTTATATTTATAAATATAAACTATCAAGTTAAATTGTATAAAACAATTGGAAATGATTTATTCGCATTTAGTTGTTTTGTTTTAATTTTCTAAAATGTAAAAAAATTGTGTTTTCTATCAATGTTAAGCCAGCTTAACATTAAAACAGTAAAACTCAGATTTTACATCTAGCACTTCCTGTCAAAATAAAACCGCCATATTTTTTTTAGTACTTAGTGTAAAAAAAAAAAAGCTCTCTACTGATTCCATTCTATGTGACTTTAGTCACATAGAATGGGAATCAGTAGAGAGCTTTTTTTTTTGGGGGGGACACCCTACTAAACATTTCTTAGGTAAAATGAAAAAATTAGGTAACTAAACATTATTTAGCCATAAATTGGAAAAATACTTTCTTTTTCTTCAGATTTATTTTCTTCCTTCGGATTTATTTTATTCTTTTTTGGATTTATTTTCTTCTTCCTTTGTATTTATTTTCTAATCTTTCAAATTTATTTTCTTCTTCCTTCGGATTTATTTTCTTCTTCTTTAGATTTATTTTCTTCTTCTTTTGAATCTATTTTCATATACAAAATAAAATTTTGATGTGCGAAGACTTTAAACCTGGCAGTCACTGGAGCTCACTGTGATTGCAGATATACAAATACAGATGTAATTATTATTGCAGTGATCAAAATAATCCATGCAAAGTTCCTGTTAACACTTTATATGATTTTAATCCTGTATAAAATACAATGTTTGGGTATATGTTAAATTCGTTGTTTTTATTGCTGTTTTTAGTATTTAACAAGTATCTAGAATTAATGTTTGTATACACAACTAAGTATCCAGAATTTAGGCTTGAACCCATAACTTAGTATCCACAATTTATGCTTGAATTTAATATGCCACTACCAAGTATATGCCAACATTGGGCTCACTTTAGGAAATATTCTTTTTATATACAAAATCATTACAATAAATTTAGAAAACTTCAAAACTTTTTTCTTTTTCCACTTGAATATTGCAAAATAGTAGAGAACGATACAAAACTTCATTTTGTGTCATAAATTCAATAAATTAACAGCAAATGCCATTTTTAAATGTATTTTCATTTTTAATGATTTCTTTTTCTAAAAGAGTTCTGCAATATTTTAAGATATTGTATTGTATATTATTATAATGTACAATCTTTTTTAAATCTAAAGTGGATATAATATTAAGATACTGGATTTTCATATGATATTTATCAAACATCTGTTTTTAGACTTATGTGTTAAAAATAGTGAGTGTGTTATTATATTTTAGTTTTATGCTTGTAAATAATATAAAAATTTTCTCTAAATCATTAAATTATTTTTTAAACTTAAGATTCAAGTTTTAGGAAGAGATTTAAATGACCAAAAAGCTAAGTAAGGGCCATTTGGAAACTGGATGATAGGCCAAATAGATATGAAAAAGCAAAAGTTACAAGAAAAATATCTAATGCAAAAATTATAACAACTGGCCATTTGGATAACTTTTATATCAGTGAAACCTACAATGTGAACACAACAACGGTCTTAAAAACAGAAGAGCCATGAGCAAAATCATTGTTTGAAAAAAATAACACTGATTGCAACTAATGTTGCAATCAGTGTTATTTTTTTGTTGTTGCCTATCAGGTTCAAAGTAGGTGCTGCTGCCATAGCAACTGCTACCTCAATAGACTATCAAATTATAACTCAAAATAACAGATATCAAATAATCACTCAAAAAATAGACATTTAATACAAAAATTTATTAACTATAATTAGTAATAAACAAAGTTCGGAAGTTTTCCACTTAAAAGTCATTGGAATAAATAGAGCGAAAAATCCTACAGATAAATTGTGCACAATTACAAAGTATATTGTCCAAGTTTACTGCCGCAAGTGATTTGCATATAAAAAGTCTGGTCTTTATAATGATACTGCTAGGCTTCTTTGTAAAACAATATATAATATTGTTTTAAATATACAATGTATTATTTTTTTAAATCTTCAAGAAAATGCTCTCTACTCATGTTACAAGTTGATGAAAAATATATAAGGGAACAAGCTATCAAGAGATTTCTGCACATAAAGCATTTAAGAGAAGTAAACCCTGAAGCAAAACCAAAAATTAAAGCAAAAGCAATTATGTCTATTAACTTTCACACTAATACTTGTAGTTGCTTAGTTGATGTTTCTTTAATTAAGGTTTTTCTCAAAAACTTTCAAATTCACCTAACAATTTGCAATCAGTGGAAAGTTCTGTAAAGCTTGTATCAGAGGTAGGGTTGCCAGATATCTGGCTTTTATGCTGGAGAATACAGTGCAATAATGAAAAAAAAATAAAGATTTTTACTGTGTTCTCTTTCATAAAAGTCACACATCTGACAACTCTATTCAGAGGCATCAATGAGAGTTTATGGTCAAATTAAGAGAAAACTTCATGCTTACTAAAAACCAGAGCAGAAAAAAAAAATTCATCAAAAAAATGATTAATTTATACCTTTTACTTAAGCTTTTTTTTAAATTTCACATCCCAAAAACCAAGGTCTCTATAAACCTTTAAGTTTCTAATTACCCTTGCTAAGAGAAATAAATTGAGAGCAGCCCTTCTAGAGGTATTGGGGTAGTGATCAACCAAGTCTACTATAATATGTTAATAAATGTGTTATTAAAACAATATTAACACAGTACTATTGTTTTTTTCATACTAATTAAAAGTAGATTAGGAAGGGATGGATTTTGTGTGATGCAAATCAAGAGATTAAGTAAAAAACATCAAGTATTTGGGGCAAAAGAACCTTTACTAACTTTCCCTTAAGAATCTTTTATCACCCTTACTAACTTTCCCTTGGGAATCTTTTATCACCCTTACTAACTTTCCCTTGGGAAAATTATTAAGGGTGAAACTGTAGTCTGTCAATAACACTATACTCACTAATAAGTTATTTATAGCGATTTTTATTTTTATTTATAGCGATTTTTATGAATGTAAACTTTTTATATGTTTTCTCCTTAGAAAATGTCATTAAAAGATAAATGGGGGTACATTGTAATATTTGTGTGCCCTTCTAAGGTCCAGTTATGATGCATAAATTATGTAAAGATTATGTGATTTCATAATTTCAGAATATTAAAGTCTGTACTAAAGTATAAAAATGTTGAAAATGCTAAAAAAATAAGCTAAAATAATATACTAAAAAATTTGAAAACAGTTTCCCAAAATTACCCTTACTGGTTTGAAATTTGCAAAATAGACTTAGATTTGTAAGTACATCAAACCCCAGTAAGCCATTATGACTGAGAAAAAAATATGTTTTAGAAATGGAAATCCATAACTAAATACCCACAACTTAAGCTTGGTAGTAACATAAAACTTGCATAATTTTTTTTGATTTTTGACTCAAGATTTTAAATAAGGATTGCATGTCAATCAAAAAATTTATATAAATTACAACATGTAAAAAATTAAAATCGTAATTTCAAATTAAAAAAAATTAAATTTTGTTGTTAAATATCTTAACTATGATGCCAATGGTTTTTTTTTTAAATTTTTATTTATCAAAATTTTTATTATTGTATTTTTCTGGAAAATATCTTTAAGAAACATCCTGAAAATGCAATAATAAAAATTTTGTGTAACTAAGTATATCTCATGAAAAGAAATATTTTGGCAGAAATTCTTTTATATCTCATGTACTAGAAAAGAAATATTTTGGCATTCTTTTATATAAAAGACAAGTATTTCAATACTTATTTAAATAGAGTTTATAAATTAAATTAGATTTTTAGATAAAATAGTCAAAATAACTAAATTGATCTCTAAGTGCTGAGTGTTTTTATATCTTAAATAATCTTTAAAAATTAAGTTTCATATTAACTAAACATTCCAAAACAAAGTATTTATCGAAATATTTTTAACACCATACATTTTTTTTCTAAGGTAAGTTCCAGCTCCTTTATTTTTTTTGGTGTGATTAATACAGTTAATAAATGACATCAAATAAAAAAGCTCTTTCAAATAACTTAAACTCGAGTTATAAACATTATGTTTGGGTTTTCCCTTTTGCAATTAATTTTTTATCTAGATGAATACCTTTATATAAATCATACTAAACCCAAAAAAAATTTTTTTTTTTTTATTTGAATTTGAAAAAATTATTTGTACAAAAAAATTATTTATACCTTTACTGTTTTAAATATTTAATGACAAAAAAAATATTTTTAAATTGTATTTCCAGAAAACTATTTTGGGTATTGAGAAAAAATAAAAATTTATAAAAATTTCCAGAATTCTGGAAATATCCAGAAAAAGATAATCCCTGAAGGTAAAACAGGTCATTATACCTCCGCTATGGCTACTAATTTAATAATTTCTTTTTTTCCCTAATTATTTTTCTTAATTAATATTTTCTTTCTTAATTATTACTCTCTCAATCCATAAACTTTTCAAAACTTTTTAGCTACTCATTTAATATACATATATATTTTTTCCTAATTATTTTCTTCTTAATTATTTCTCAAAACTTTCCAACTTCACAGAAATCTCTGTACAAAAACTTTAAAAAGCATGAAAACCTTGGCCAAAAAGACCTTTGCACAGAAAATGAAGTTGAGCGTGGTTTTGTACCCAATAATTGAATTTGGAATTTAAAAATGTGTAAACAAAAAAAAAAAAAAAAAAAGAAAAAAAGAGAAAATAGAAATAACAGTAGCCTCCTTGTGTTTAGTTGCCCCCTCAAAACTGAGGAAGTAAACACATTTCATGATAAACAAAACAACATAACAAAACAAAACAATAAAACAGGTAAAAACAAACACTTTTGCCAGCCACCCCCTCAACAAAATCTTATAAAATCTCAAGCTATGCTATTTTTAAAGATTCTATTTAAAACTAGATTTTTTTGAATGCATACCATAAAACCCATAAACTTGTGTGATTTGTCGACTTTCATGATTTCCACGAAGCAAAGTAATATGCTTTGGATACCTAAAAAATTTATTTATCAAAATTTATTGTTTTTAACATTCCAAGTAAAAGCAATGCTAACAATATTGTTTTTTATATTTTAAGTCAAAACAATATTAAAAATATTGCAACAAAATTGAAAATTATTTTTTGCTACTTTTTTGTAAAAAATATTTTTCCAAAAAACACATGTACTTAAAAAGAAAATATCTTTATCCTGATTTAATGCAAGAGAATTTTTCTTTCTTTCTAGGAAGTAATAAAAATTATGTCAAATTTTTATTTAAAAATAAAGTGTGATGTTAGTTTGATGTTTCTTAACCCTATAAATATATTTATATCTTGGTTTTCAACATTTAATTTATTTACAAAAAAAAAATGTTTTTCTAATTTTAAACAAGTTTATAAAGTATATAAATAAAAAAAATGAAATTAATAATTTTTAAATATTAAAAAGTTTAAACACTTTGTACTAGTTTTTACTTCATTTGCAAATTTAAATACTACTTTTATTATATTAAATTATTTTTATTTATATTTCTATCTTTTTGAATTCCTTTAGTTTTACTTCCTCATTATCCCAAGATGGTAGATGATATCCTAAGGTAAAAAACTAGATGGTAGGATTATCTATCACATTTTATTTGAAGGGAGCATATTTAAAATTATAAAGTAGGCACTCCAAGAAGACCTAATGGTCTAATAGTCAAAAAGTATTGAGGAAGAGCATTGAACCAGGAAGTTTATGCTTCGTTATCAAACCAAAAACCTCTTGGTTTGCAGATATCTACCAATTTTGTAATTAGTGTCTTTTCTTTCAGTTTCCTTCTATTATTTTTATATCACATATAATAATAACATGTATTACAGGTGCTGACGGGTAGTAAAAATAATAATAACAATGGTATTAACAGTATTATTAAAAGTAATATTAATATAAATAATAGCAATAATAAAAATTAATAATAATAATAATAATAATAATAATAATAATAATAATAATAATAATAATAACTAATAATAACAATAACAAGAAAAAAGAATAGCTATAATTATAAATTTGTATAACAAAAAAAAAAAAAAAAAAGATAAAAAAAAATAAACAATAATATAATGACTATAATAATTATATGCATAATAATATTTTATAATAAGATTGATGGTGGTTAAAGGAGTGTCACTAATTATTAAATATAACATGATTAATAATAAGCAAATAGACATATTTAAATAGACATATAACATATTGATAAAAAGGTTAAAACAAGTTAAAATCATAATTTGAAGAAAGTAATTTAAAAAAAGTTGAAAAGCAATAAAAAAATGTAATAATAACAATAGTTAGAGAATTAAAAACAAAATATTGATTTAAGATTTTTAAGAAGTTTTAAAAAAAATTTCTTTTAGAATTCTTTTAGATTTTGTTTTAAAAAAAAACAACAATAGTAGTAGGTAGTAGTGAACTCATATACAATGCTTTATTCACAGATGCACTGATACTTTTTAGTTTTATGAGATTTTGCATTAGGATTTCCATAAAATATTTTTCTAGTAGAGTATAAATGTATTAAAGGTAATTACTGTTTTTAATTTTGATTTTAACATTGATTTGAATTTTAATACTTGTTGCTATGCAAAAGATTTGTATTATGAGCAAATTAATGTTGTTTTTTAATGTTATTCACCTCCTCAAAGAAGAGAGATTTTAAATGTTATTCAACTCCTCAAAGAAGTCCAGGAGGGTACTTAATTTTAGTTTTTTAACAATCCTCTTTTAACTCTTTAACTCTGAAACACAAACTGTTGTGCTGACAATTATCTAACTCCTGATTTTATTCTTTTTCTCTACAAATCTCTTATTCGTCCCCGTATGGAATACTGTTATCATATTAAGGCTGGTTCTTCTAATGATGCTTTTTTTCTCACAAGTTGGACCTGCATTTATCTTATTAGCCTCTTTCCCATCGCTGTAAGGTTGCATCTTGTTCTCTTTTCTAAAAACCATGATTGCTTCTCAAAAGAGTTATAATCTTAGTTTCATTCAAATAAAACTCTTGCTCTTCAAATCTATACTTTTTTTTCTCCTAACTCCTAACTTAATAGTGGTTGTATGCAGCCTTGTTGGGATTGAGTTAGACTAATAATAAAAAAAGCGTCTACTAAAATAAACAGTGGTATAAACAGAAATATATATGATGGAATTGCAAACCTAGAAGTGTTTGAGGTCAACAAAAAATTGCTGACCTTGTTTCTATGTTTAATTTTAAAATCTTTGTATCAATTTTTTTTTGCCTACCTGATGCCGACCTCTAAAAGATTAAGACCGCTAAATTATTGCCGACCTCATTTTTTCTACTTCCGAGGGCTGTATATATATATTATGTTGTTGTGATAGTTCTTTGTTGTTGTAATAATTCTTTATGTTGCTGTGATAATTCTTTACGTTGTTGTGATAATTCTTTATGTTGTTGTGATAATTCTTTATTTGTTGTGATAATTCTTTTTGTTGTTGTCATAATTCTTTAACTTTCTGCATTCTATTAGAGTAAGAAAATATGAAATATTTTTAATAAACAGTAAAAACTAATTTAGCTTTTTGTTTATTAACTTTTCCATTGAATTTATAAAATTGTTAATGAATAAATGGATAGCTAGAGTGAAAACCCAAAGAAAACACATGTCTAAAAAAGAGAAAACACATGTCTAAAAAAGAGAAAACACATGTCTAAAAAAGAGAAAACACATGTCTAAAAAAGAGAAAACACATGTCTAAAAAAGAGAAAACACATGTCTAAAAAAGAGAAAACACATGTCTAAAAAAGAGAAAACACATGTCTAAAAAAGAGAAAACACATGTCTAAAAAAGAGAAAACACATGTCTAAAAAATTTTAATTTTACTAACCTGCCCATAAAAAAGTGAACTAGGGCACATTAAAAAAGTGAACTAGGGCACATTAAAAAAGTGAACTAGGGCACATTAATAAAAAAGTGAACTAGGGCACATTAAGAAAATTAAATTAGACAAAATAAATGATACTATTTGAAAAAAATTAAATTTGCAACAGTGGAAAAATAACACTGATGTTATATATTAGTTTTCTAAAATTAGTAATAAAAATGAATGCACATTTATACAACTTGATATTAATGATTTTTTTACAGCTGAAATTTTAGATAAAACAATAGAATTTGGAAAAATACACACTGAAACTACAGATGAGACTAATTAAACATTGTCTAATTAAACATTGCAGAAAAACTTTACTCTATTTTAACAATAAGATGTGGAAGAAAAAAACCACACATAAATGCTTTGACGTAACAATGGGAAGTTACAACAGAGCAGAAATTTGCAAAATTGTAGGCTTATATATTTTAAATTCCCTATCCAAAACAGTTTATTAACCAATTAGGTTTTTATCGCAATGATGGTTTAACAATATTGCAAAAAATAAAAAATCAGGGCCTCAACTTGACAAAATCAGAAAAAATATTATAAAAATTTTCAAAAAACATTGGCTTCCAAATTGAAATAAACACTAATTTAAAAATTGTTACTTTTCTTGATGTCATATTTAATTACTCGGAAAACTCTTATAAACCTCAGAAAATAAATAAATGATAAATTATTGTATATTAATATAAATTCAAATCATCCCTCTCAAATCTTAAAACAAATTCCAATTTCAATAAACAATAGACTAAATCAAAACTCTTCTAATGAAAATATTTTTAACTCTTCCAAACATGTGTATAAAGATGCTCTTAAAAACATGTGTATAAAGATGCTCTTAAAAACATGTGTATAAAGATGCTCTTAAAAACATGTGTATAAAGATGCTCTTAAAAACATGTGTATAAAGATGCTCTTAAAAACATGTGTATAAAGATGCTCTTAAAAAATGCAGATTAAAAAATTTGAGCTAAAACTTGAAACAAAAATTGCAAAAAAGCAAAATAGAAATATAATTTGGTTCAACGCTCTGTGCAGCAAAAATGTTTCAACAAATATTGGAAAAGCGTTTTTAAAATTAATAGACAAACATTTTCCTCTCTCTAAGAAATTGCAAAAAAAATTTAACAGAAATGCTATTAAAGTAAGCTAAAGCTGTACCAAAAATATTGAAAGAATTATAAAAGGCCACAATTTTGCATTGATTAATAAAAATGAATTTCTTAAAGAAAAAAAAAATACTGAAAATTGTAATTGCAAGAAAAAATTGACTGCCCTCTGAATGGCAAATGCTTATCAAAAAATATTATTTACGAATTCATTGTTTCTTTACCAAACAATTCTGATAAACAATATATTAGCTTAACCAAGGGGAAACTAAAAAAATGTTATTCCAACCACAAACAATCTTTAAACATAATAAATACTTAAAAGAGACTATGCTGTCAAAATATATTTGGCAAACTGTCTGCCTATAATAACATTCCCAAAAAATGTATACCATGTTTACAAGAAAATCTTGAAATTATTACTCATTTGGATTTTTCTATGTTTAGACATTCTTTCTGATGAACTAACTGGTGGTGAAACAACTTGTTGAAGAAACTTAGATAAGTGTTTTAACTAATTTAAATACATACATATGTATGTATGTATGTATGTATGTATGTATGTATGTATGTATGTATGTATGTATGTATGTATGTATATATATATATATATATATATATGCATATATCCATATCCATATGCATATACATATATAATGTATATTTATACATTCATTGACTTAAGCCTATAAACAGCTTACATCAATTAACATTGAATGTTCACTTTCCACACCAGTTAATATTATAACAGATAATTTTTTATCAAGTTTATTATGAATTTTAATAATATTAATGAAAATAACTTAAAACAAATAAAATTACTTCGCTTTTAGAGTCAAAAGACGAGTCCATGTTTCAAGGCTATAATATCCTCTATCAACGAAGTCTCCCTACATAAAAAATAAATTTCATTACTTTAACTACAGCAACAGTTTGATCTAAAATATTTGCTGTAGTTACTTTAAGTAACTATAGCAACTATTAAGTACATTTTTAAAAATATTTAATAGTAAAAACTTTAAATCCATTAATCAATCTTAATTAAGTAAAAAAAAAATCAAACTATAATATAAAATAATAAATGCTAAAAATATTTGACTTGAGTTAAATTAAGAATTAAACTAAGAAAACTTAAACTTAAATTAATCACTTAAATTAAAAACAAAAACAAAAAATAATCAACTAAAAGTTTTTGTTAGCCACTCTCCACCTATCTTATTCCTTAAAGCAACTATTCAACCAAAAAAGTTTAAAGTCACCTAAACAAATGATCAACCCATTGTTATTGGATCAGTTAATCATTTTAAACAGTTTAAACTCAATACTTTTCTGTTAAAGAAACACAACAAACTTATATGATACAAACAAGGATCTTTAAATTAGTACTCTTATATAATAACGTCTAATTAATGATTGCTTATTTAAGTTGATGATAGCATGTTTAAATTGATGATGGCTTGTTTAAATTGATTTCTTTTGATTAATTAAACTTAACTAAAGTAAAGTATACAAAGATAGTATAAGATGCCATCGACATGCTCTTTATATTTTGCAACAACTTTTTTGCATCCTGTAGTGAAAGACATTCCAATGTTTTCTCAAAACCTTTTGGATAGAATGAAAGCCACCTTTTATTGATACCTATCTCTCTACCTAACAGCAAAAAAACTCATCACCAAAACACAAACATGAGTTGCATATGAATGCAAAAAACTCAAAACAAACTAACAATAAATCCCTTATTATTACAATTTATTATAAATTAATATATATATATATATATATATATATATATATATATATATATATATATATATATATATATATATATATATATATATATATATATATATATAAATAGCTCAAAATAGTTTTTCAAAGCTAGCCAAAGTTTTACACATATTTTTTATATTTGTCCATTTAACAACATTAAACCTAATAAAAATCAAATAGTTTAAACACAAGAATTCATCAAAAATAGAAAACAATTTTTTTTCACACAACGATTCAGTTTTTCAAAAAATATTTTCACTATACAATATATAATAAAATTTTCAAAAGTTTTAAATACCATAAATATGTAATTAGTATCTGGTACTTTTCCACTTGTTCGAAACAACTCCTCTAGGTCATAAAACTGAAAGAAATTTCATAATACTATTTACTTTTAAAGTTATTTACTGAAGTTTCTAATAAAATAAATATTTTATTTCAAATAACAAAAAAAAGCCTAACAAAAACTCAGTATATATATATATATATATATATATATATATATATATATATATATATATATATATATTCATGTATATATATAAATGTATATATATATATATATATATATATATATATATATATATATATATATTCATGTATATATATATAAATATATATATATATATATATATATATATATATATATATATATATATATATATATATATATATATATATATATATATATATATATATATATATATAAATATATATATACAGGCTTGGTCGGGAAGCGGGAGCGATCGCTCTCGAATACTGACCACGGAAATTATATTTAGTTGCGTAAAACTGGCCAGGTTTTTTAGTCGTTTTGAGAACATTTAAGTTTATGTACGAAACAAAAATTTTTGTTTTACGGACATACATGGAAACATAAAAAACTTGAATGTTCTTAAAACATCTTTGTGCGAAAGAATAAAAAAATATTTGCGAACACTAAAAACCCACCAAATTAACGAACAAACTAATTCTATTGGTTCAAAAAATACGCTGATTAAGCGAAGTAAAGTTCTAGAGTATTTTGTTAAAATGTTTCAGAAATTGTATTATACACGATTTGTTACGTTTTGAGATTTCTAGCATTGTTTTAAGAATATATATTATTTGTTTACGAAAATAAATGTTTTAAATATATATTGATTAAACAGTTAAAATTTTAAAAGTTTATTATAAATCATAGATTTTATTAGTATATTCTTATTTTAAAAGAGATTGTATTCTTTATGTAAATGTAATTTTGTGTATTTGTTTTTTATCGTAATGTATCTTTTAAAGCAATTTTTATGATTTAAACAAAGGCTTACAAAAATAATTGCGTTTTCAATGAAGTTATAATCGTTAAAGTTAATAAAACTAATTATGTAACAAACATATAAGTAGTTTTTGGTTACTAAACACAAACAACGCATACAAAGTAACTCGCGGATGAACAAGCATCGCGCCTGAGGTCACGACAGAGCACAAATATATATAGCAAATAAATAGATATAAAGAAAAGTTTCTAGATATTGGTTTACTTACTCTAATTATTTTGGCTTAAGTTGCCATTCTTAAAACTCGTTATACTTTTTTCTGTTTTAAATACTAATTAAAATTAAAAAGCCCACTCACTAAACATCATTAGCGATATTGTGAAGCAGAGTCGCTTCCTCGTCATTAAGTATTTTTAACCTTTTTAGTTGATTTCTACCTTGATTATTTAATTCCTATAGTAATTCAATGATTTAATTATTTCATTTGTTTATCTTACTAAGAAGAATCGCTTCAAATATGTTAAACTTTTCAAACTACGCGAAACATAAAATAGGTATTAAAAAAATTAACTTTTTTATTTATAAAATAATTTAGCTTAAGTAAAACTAAAACTTGCAAACTTAGTTAAATAAAGAATATTTATTTCCCTTTTAAACAATCGTAAGTTGTTACTTTATATAAAAAACATCGCTCATTTTTATTTTTTTTGTAATTGTCTCTCATCGGTCCAATTAATCTTCGTCGCTTTTTTTTTTTTGCTTTTTAAAATGTTCTCAAAACGACTAGCAATCTGGCCAGCTTTTCGCAACTAAATATTATTTACATGGTCAGCAATCGAGAGCGATCGCTCCCGCCTCCCGACCAAGCCTGTATATATATATATATATATATATATATATAATATATATATATATATATATATATATATATATGTATATATATATGTATATATATATGTATATATATATATATATATATATATATATATATATATATATATGTATATATATATGTATATATATATGTATATATATATATATATATATATATATAAATATATATATATATATGTACATACATATACATATACATATATATATATATATATATATATATATATATATATATATATATATATATTATATATATATGTATATACATATACATATATATATATATATATATATATATATATATATATATATATATATATATATATATATATATATATATATATATATATATATATATATATATATATAAATATATATATATGTATATATATGTGTGTGTGTGTGTGTGCGTGTGTGTGTCTTCTATGTTTAAAATTTAATGACAGGGCTGCCTGGATAGTCATTTTGAGAGAGGCGTGCAAAATTTTAAATATTCATCTTTATTTGCTATTTAAATTAAAATAAAAACAGTAAAAAGAATGATATTGAGAGTGAGAGCAAATTCTAAATGAAATAATTAAAAAAACAAAACCATCAAAAAAACATTTTAAATTATAGATATAAAACAATGTTAATTTGGAATTTTCAGATAGTGTTAGCATCGTGCCTTGTTTTTGCGGTAAAGACTTTTATTATTTAGCACAGAGGAAATTTAATTAAGAAAAAATAATTTTTTTTTTACTTTTTTTGAAGATTCAATAAGAGTTAGTTTCCAACTATTTCAAATAAACTAATTAAAATATTAATAACTATTTCAAAATAATTACTATTAATACTATTTCAAATAGAGCCTGACCAAAAAAAGATTACATAAGATGTAAGATGTTTGAAAAAATCTATTTTATAACCTTTAATTCACTTTAACTGCATAAAATAAAAAAAATTATTTTATTTTGATTGGTTATTGCAAATTCAATATTTCAAACATTTAAATAATTGAAAAACACCTGGCCATGGATATCGCCACAAACTGTAACTGGAGTTGATACAGGCTGAACATTTGACTCTTCTATTAACAGCTCACTTACATAATCACAAAGTCGCTGAAACAGAAAAGAACACAATATATAGGATGATTATCAAAAGAAAAAAAAAAAAAAAGAAAAACCAGAATTTAAAAAATACAGTTTTACAGATTTTTTTACAAAACCATCATTTTAAAAATTCATTTACTAAAATTTAGTATCATTAAAATTTTAGAAGTGTTTTTATTTCAAATTTTAAAATTTTTTTCTTCTTTCTTATTTTTTTACAACCTCTTTAAATTTATTTCTTGTATATCTTTTATTTGTTTAATCTTTTCTTCTATAATTTAAACCTTTTTTTTCTTATACTTTTTTTTCCCCTTTAAAAGCTTTTTCCCATTGAAAATAGGATTCTGCCATTTGTAATGTTATTGTAATGAAAGTATAATATTTAAATAATTACTAAAATGTGAGAATTTCTGGGAGATCATTATGGTGAATTAAAAAAAGTATAGGGCCTAGAATAAAACCTTGAGAAACCCCTGAAATTAAAGGATATGAAGAAAAGTAAAGTCCATCAAGGACAATTTTTATACTACAATTGGTAAAGAATGATTCAATAATCTTAAAGATGTTAGCTGATATATTGTAAGAAGAAAGCATATGGAAAAAGCCAGCATGCCAAACTTTATCAAAAGATTTAGAAATGTCAAGAGCAATAGTCTTAACCTCTCCACATCTATCTAATGCAAAATAAAACCTATCAGTTGTTACCGTTAACAAATAAGCAGTAGAACAAGAAGATCAAAATTCATATCAGATATAATATCAGAAAGTAAGTTATTAGATTCAATGAGAGATTAAGTGTTTGTTAATTAAAGATTAAGTGATGACAGATTAAGTGTTTGCTAAATAAAAAAATCAAACTCAAAAACCTTGCTTATTATAGGAAGAAGACTAATGGGATGGTAGTTAAACAATTCATGCCAATATCCAGAGTTTTTGAAAATAGGGATAACAGATGCCGCTTTCCAGGTGGATGGAGAAAAAGACTCTGATAAACAGTTTTATAAGTATAGACGACAGCTCTGGAGAACATTTCTGCAAGACTATAAGAGGTTGTCCGGACCATTAGCTGTAGAATCTTAGCAGGAAACCATTTTAGATAGAATTTAGAATGAGACTTTTTGCCAATCCGCCCCCAGCAAAATTGTAAGATTTAGCAGGGGTTAATAGCTGTATAATTCATAATTCATTATACAATATAATTTTATACTAAAATTTACTATTTATTAAATTCTGCATATATTTATATCAGTATTTAATAAATAGGGACAGATACAGTAAAAAGATGTAACTTGTTGAATAAGAAGCCAAGCAAGAATGAGTTTTAGTTTATTGTAATAGAGATGATAGCTCATTTGAGCATTTACCATGATTAGAGAAACAGTATAAAAGAGGAAGGCTAAAGCCTGCTGCTGATGACAATAATGATGATAATGATGATTATGATGATGATAATGATGATTATGATGATGATTATGTTGATCATAATGATGTTTATCAATGCATTTAAATACAAAATCAAACATAAATTTTGAAAAAAAAGGACTTTAGGGTGTATAAATGTTTATGCAGCCCCGATTACAAACCCGTCCTCAGTCAAATATTAACACATGTTGTTAATTAGTTACATGTTACCAGTAGCATGATAATCAGTGATATTTATCGTTTTGCAAGTACAAGAATATTTATTTAGAAAAAGTCAAAAAAGAAAGAAATTAGTTTATACTAAATATTAAAAAAACTGTAACATTAAATTTAATTATTTAATATTTAAAAAAAAATAATAATAATTAAAAGAAAGTAGAAAAAAAGAAAGACATTTTTATAATGTCAAAACTCATGTTAAAGTAATGCGTTTTTTAGCTAAAACAATTTCTGTTATAGTTTAACTCTTCATTCAACAAAAATACTTTGATGAAAATGTCACTTAAGCATTTGTAAAACTACTAGAAAAAAAAATTAAAATTAAAACAAAACCCAAAAATTACACAAAATCTTTAATAAGTAATAAAAAAGCTGAAATAAAAATGTAAATACGTAAAAATAATAAATTATTTCTATAGCTATATTTAATTGCTCTTCATTAGTTATTCTAAAATAGCATATAAATAAATATAATTTTTTATTTACTAAAATTATCAAAAACCATAACAAAAACATCCTTCTTAAATCTATCAAAATTAATCTTTTAAATGCAATTGTTGAAACAATAAATGTCTTATAAAATATATAAAAGTATCATTGGAACTAAAAACAAGCCAAAAAAAGTTTACATTGGCTTAAGGAAGGTTGAATCTAAAGCAAGAAATTACAGCAAGATATCATTCAACAAAGTAAAATACAAAGTCTGCTACAAAACCATGATACTGAAAAAAACATAATATATAGTATTTAAAGTACATAGTATAATGCTGTATATTTTTTAAATATACAGCATTATACTATGTTTTTTGTATATTTTTTAAATATACAACATTATACTAATTTGTTTTATACTACATTCAATAAAGAATAGTTATTAACAAACATTTAAGATTATTAATGCAGCACTAGTTGTCTCAGGGTTAGGGTTAGGGCAGGGCTGGATTTATCAATAGGCTGACTAGACCACATCCTAGGGCCCTGCAATTATAGGGGTCTCAATATGTCAAAAAATGTCAGAATTATTTACTATTTTACTATTTTTTACTATTTTTATATATATAAAAAGGGCCCAAAAGCATAACCTGTCCTAAGGCGTCCATAGAAGTGTAAATCCAGCCCTGGTCAGGGCTTATGAGTTAGGGTTTTCTTTTACTCTAATAACATCTGTCCAATATCATCTGAAAATTCAACGACTTCTAACAATATCTTTAGAAAGATTTAACTACATCTGGTAATTTTTCTCCAAGTCCAATAGCATCTGGAAGAATTATCTACAGATATAGTTACATCTGAAAAAATTTCTATATGTAATTACATCTGGTTAAAAAAATGCATTATTAGTTGATTTTTTTTCCAGATGTAGTTACATCTAGAAAAAATCCTATGTGTAACTACATCTGGTTAAAATAATGGATTATTAGTTAATTCATCTTAAAAATAACTTCATCTTCAAATGTACAGATATAATTGCACAGATCTACAGATGTAGTTGCACAGATGTTATTCCACTTTGATAATTTAAAAGATGTACCTACATCTGTAATATTTAATTTTTGCACAGATGTTACTTGACAACAATGAAATTTTTAGGTGTTGTTGGACAGATGTTATTAGACATCAATGTAATTTCATATGTTGTTGGACAGATGTTATTTCACCTTATTATATTTACAGATGTTGTTGGACAGATTAGATATGGCAAAAACTGTTGTTGTTACCCTGACCCCACAAAATATTTCCCTTTTTTGGCTTTTCTCTATTGCATACAAATAGCAAGAGTGACGTAGTTCGGGCAGTTAACTATAAAAGTTGTTACACATCAGGTTCAGGTACATATTGTTTTATTTTTTTCCTGCTGATTTCAACTATGCCTCAAAATTACAAAAGCAAAGAAAACAGCCGAGGTTACAAAACAAGTTACACTCAAAGACTTAAACAGAAATAGCAGTAAATAAAACGAAAAACCATGGATTTACGGGATGGAAAAGCCATAAATTTAAGAACTACATAAAAATAAAAATAAAAATTGGGGATTAAGTTTTAAAAAAATATGGTGGACAAACCAGACTTGATAGTTCAGCAGAAAGTTTATTTGTTCAAACAATTTTTTATATGACAAGCTGGAGGGTATCTCTTGATTCTTTAGACTTTGAGTTAAATGTTATTGTGGTAAAAAAAAGATAACTGAAATTTTGAAAATTTCAACTTGAAAGAAAAACAATATTCCTAGTGTAGGTTAAGTTCAGTCCTTCATGAAAAAGCATCATTTGATGAAAAGGGTTGGTGACAATAAAAGCATAGTAGGGTTTTCGTCAATGAAGAAACCCTTAACAATTATTTTATTTATTGGCAACGCCAGAAAAAATTAAATGCCAGATAATTTTTGCTGTCAATGTTTGTTTAAAAAGCAAAGAATCTTTACCAGGGTTGAACTTAAGGTGGATCACCTAGAACTGTATACAATATTACCCCTAATGGATAGTCTGATGGTATAACATTTAACAAATGGTTCTTGCCTGCTAACTTAAAAATCAGAACAAAATTGCTGATTGGTTATAACCTTAGTTTTCATTTTACTACTGAAGCTATTGAAGCCACAATTCAACATGAAATCAAATGTATAACAATGCCCCCAAAAGCAACCATCTTTGCCAACCACTAGATGTTGCAGTATTACTTTTTTTAACATTTTTCACTTCCAACAAGGCTGTAAGCAACCATTATTAAAGTTGGAAGTTACTGGAAGAGAAAAGATAAAGTTTATAAAGCAAAATAACAATTGAAACTTAAAAGATAGCAAATTATATGAATCAGGAAAACAAGATAAAAGGAGCATATCCAAAAGAACTGACGTTTAAGGAAAAAAGAATTTTCGGAGAACATAGGAACAGTCACAGTAAAAGGATAAGATTTAATTGATTGACAAGTAACATTAGAATGAAATTTAGTAGATAGCACAAGAGACACTAGCTCTTTAGAGCAGCATCCATTATAGCATTTATAGAAAAGAGAAATAGAAGCAACATTATGACAATGATTAAAGGTTGGCTTTAAGGATTAAAGCAGTCGTGGAGGAGTATTCTTTCAAAGTAGAGAATAGAAAAAATTGCATTATAGTGGCTATATTAAAAGAAAATGCCTATGCTTTTAAACAAGTTAATGAACACTTTGCAGCCTTGCAGCTTTAATTTTCCTATGAACTAAAACAAAAGTGATAAAATGTCTTCCAGGAAAAAATAAAGACTCTTGTGTTAAAGATACTGTAATAGTTCTTTACGAATCTATTTTAGATAATATTAAGAACAATTAAAGCTTAGGTACAAATTCACTTGCAAAACAGAAAACACATGGTCCAAAAGTTAAATCAGAAAAAAATAATTTATTGTTTAGATGAGTCAATGCCATCAAGTTAAACAGAGCTCGTCAACAAAGACAGTGATAAAAAAATAAGTGGAGTTACACAAAAATGTGTGAATTCAGCAAAAATAACTGCAGCAAACCTCCAGTATTATTGCCTTATATATGAAAAAAGATGACTTTATAAGTCTTTGAAAAAATTGATCTTATATGTATCATGTGAGAGTCGTTTGAGAACATAGGGGATAGTGATGATTGATATTTTGTTTTATTTAGGACAGCTTTGTAAATGTTTTAGTATATAGTAATATGTTAAAAAAACTAGGCTTCAAACTTAGTATGTAATTTTTTCATATGAACCGATTTAAAATAAAAGATAACACTAAAATACACTTTCTGTTTGACCAGTTTAAACTTTTTGTTATCTGCTTGATCTCTAACAGTATTTCCCCTCCTTATATGTTAATCTATCCATAATCGAAGAAATAAAAACATTATGCAAGTTTAAAGTCACCATGAATCAGCTGTTCATTCTCACTTAATTTTAACAATACAAATATGCTTATTTAAATAAAAAAACTAAGATTTTAACTGTATTGTGTTAATCAGGCCTAGAACCATTCCAGGAAGCTGGAAAGTATGTTTTTTAAAAAAAAGATCGCGATTAGGCTAACAGTTTTCTTAAATGATGCAAAAATGTTTAAAAAGCATTCATCACTCTTGTTGCTAATAATATACAATCCTATAAAAACAAAGGAATTAATGAATGTAAACTAACTTTAAAAAATATATAATTAGTAGAAGCGAATAAAAAAATTAATTGATAAATTTTACAATAATTAATTATTATAAAAATGAATTTACAAAATACAAAACAATTTGTTAAAAAAAATTTCACTCCTTTACAATGCTAAACATATTTTTATCATTTATGTCTTAAATTTAAGCAAAAGAAATTTACTTCATAATTTTTTTTTTAATTTTTATTTTTGATTCTTTCAGATTTCTAATAATTTAAAATAATTTAAAACTAATCTGTAACAAAATATATCAAACAAAAAGTTGTGGTAAGAATTTGCAAAAATGTTGTTTAAACTTAAAATTATAATTAAATATGAAAATTTGAAAAACCTTAAGATCAGTTTCAGGAAGATACTTGCAGTCTTTTGCTATTTCTAACCATTGATCAATACAAATTGTCATCTTATTTAAATATAAAAAATATAAAATACAGTTAGTACATTACCAAACACAAACATTTCTATAATAAAAAAAATAAATTTACAATCATAACAGTTATAATAACTATTTTAACATACAATTACTTAAAACAGCAATATTGGTAATTAATGTGGTAATCAATTTAAAATAAAAATTAACAATATTATTTGATAATAAAACAACTTTTTTTACAAAGATTTGAAGTTATTTTTCGGACTGATTGGGATTGTGTAATCGCCGTGCTTTGACTATCCAAACTACCGTTCATTGTATGTAGTACCGTTTTAATTAGATAAAACGGAAAAACTCAGTTTAATAAGATCAAAACCTCAGTTATAAATTCTTTATGACTTTATGACTTTACCTCCTTTACTATTATCAATTTCATGTGCAAAAAAATTAACAATCAAATTAACAACAACAACAACAACAAAAAACTTAACCTCATAGTAACTATAAATAGAGGAAGCTTCCTCTTTTTATGCTTAAATTAGATTTAAATTAAATTAGAAGACCCAAATAACTTTTATTTAGCATTTTGTTAGCAATTTATAATTGTGTCTTTTGTCTCTTTGAAGATAACAAATACAAAAAGTTAAAGAATATTACAGCAATGTGAACAAGGCCGGCGCGATGAGGGGTGTTCACAAATAAATTACTTGGTATTTTAATAGACGAAAACTTATCCTGGAGAGATCACATTATACATTTTAGCAATAAAGTCTCAAGAAGTATTGGCACCTTATATAAAACCAGACAAATCTTAGACAAATCTACACTAGCTCAACTATATTTTGCATTCATAAATAGTTATTTATTTTATGGCAATATTGTTTGGGGTAGTACAAATAAATCTAAACTCGACTGTCTCCTTAAACAACAGAATCATGCAGCACGCATTATTCATTTTCAAAATCGCTTCACAAATGCTAAGCCTCTTCTAAAAAGCATGAGGGCACTTGATATTTTTGAATTAAATATTTCCAAAATTAAGGGTGAAATGCAAGAAGCGAACTTGAGTCAAGCTCGACTTGAACTTTACATTGCAACCAATAGCGACAGAGTATGGGTTTTCCCCTCAAAAAATATTCTGCCGCTATTAGTTACAAAGTAAAGTTCAAGTCGAACTTGACTCAAGTTTGCTTCTTGCATTCCACCCTAAACCGATACAACACGCAATCTAAAAGACCTTTCCGTACATTATATATTATTATAACTTATACATTATTATAACTTACAAGCTTTGCCATTTCCAACCGTGGCCCAATGCTATGAAACCATTTTACAAGCCTGAGTGGTAAACTTAAAGAAGCCAATACCTATCTAAAATTTCAAAAGAACATAATCAAACTTATTGCCAATCAAGATTCTTTACATGATTTTTTCTAACAATACACTTTTATTTCCAATTTTTATTACCAAAGATTACTGATGATAAGATTTTATCTTCTTCAGGTTCTCCGGTCTCGTAACTATTATAAATAATGAAATGTACTTGTATTTAATATTTTTAAATATTTTATCAGAAATTACCTTTAATTGTAAATGGTTACTTGACAAAAAATAAATAATAAATAAAAAAAAGGTGTGTTCAGGGGGGGGGGGACACCCGCCTCCCCTCAATACGTCTCACACATCAAGGCTTTTTTCGTTCATTTAGTCGGCAAATTTGACCCTTTTTGACTAGTTAGTCGGCAAATGTAGACCCTTCTGACAGGTTAGTCGGTAAATTTAGACAGTCAGTCCCCAAATGTCGTTATGGTAATCAGAGGGCAGTTAGTAAATTTTACAAAACAAGGACCTTTTTATTTTGTCGGCAAAAGTAGTAACGGCCCCCCCCCCCCCCACGTGATACCTACTCGCGCCGGCCCTGAATGTGAACAACATACTAAGCGGGATCAAACTAAACATATAAACCACAACTGTTGGATAAAACTTTCTTAAACATTTATAATCAAGCATATATTTTAATATCATAAATTATGATATCAAAATATATGCAAAATATATGAAAAATAATTGCATTTCATACCTTCCAACTATTATGATTCATAATTGTAGGAAGGTATGAAATGCCTAGTACCCCTAATCCCGCTTATCTTGAGCGCATAGTTTTGTTTACAAAACAATCCAGAAAAAATGGCGGGTTTATTTTAAAATGCTTAAAAAAAAAAGATTGTTTATTTATTTATATACTATTTCAGAATAACTAAGGAAAAGCGCTGAAATATGGCTTTAGAATTAATCCATTATTTTTACTTAATTTATGTTTAATATATATTTTACATCAGTTTTTCAGCTTAATTTATAACATAAGTTTATGGAAAGTAAACATTTTTGCAAACATTATTGTATTAGAATAAAGTTAGGCTATATTGATCTTGCTTATATTTTTAGGTGCAAAGTATATTTTTTAAACAGAAAGTATAAAACATCTTTCAAGAAAAGAAAGTACAATTTAAATACTTAGTGTAAGTGTAATCAATTAAAACTAACATTTATAATTAAATTAACATTTAATTATAATTAAATAGTTAGTTTAAATTACTATTTTTATTTTTTATTATAATTAAATTTTAAATTAAACCTTTTAAAAGACTTAAAAGAAGCATGTATCCATTTTGACTAATCTCAAAAGTATATAACTCTTATTTAAAGAAAATTAACACAAATATTCCTCCACAATCTAAAGTCAAAGAATCTTTTACTTATTTTAAACTACCTTTAATGGAAAAATGTCAGGTTCAACTAAAAAAAGAGTTCAATTGCTAAAAGATATCTTCATTCGGTAAATGTGTAATTAGTATTCACCTCACTTAAAAATTTTAAATCTTTTTCCTCCAAAGTTCCTACTTCTCTAGAGATTAAATTATTTGTAGCCTACAAATTCATATTCAGGGTGTAACTACAGGGCTGTTGTTATTAATTTTTTTGAGAAGTTTTTAATTAACGATTAATTGGTTAAAAAAAAGATTAATCGATTATTAATTGATTAATTAAAATAAAAATAAAGAAGTTTTTCTTTAATTACACATTAAATAATAATATTTGAGTTTGTTTTTTTATATAAATTTATTTTGGTTTAAAGTAATAAAATATTCCAATGTAATTAATAAGAATGGTTATAATATTATAATGGTTAAGAATGGTAAAGATTTTTAATTTTTTTTTTTTTAATTTTTTTTTTTTTAATTTTAATTCACCTCCTCAAGGCCGAGAAGCCCACTACAGACGAAGAGGCTACTTATTTTGTGGCTATAACCCTCTCTCAACTCTATAACTCCAAAACACGAACCTTGACGAACAAGGCCGCTGTGCAGAGAAATGAGTTGAGCCCGGTACTACCAGGGACGTGGTGGGGATCGAACCCGGAACCACTCGTTTATGAAGCGAGCGCTCTACCACTACACCACTACCACAATTTATAAAATTGAGTAAAATATAAGTTTGATAATTAATTAGTGATTCATTAAAATCAATAAATAACATAGAAGTTTCAAAATAAGTTAACTCAAAGACAGTTATTTCATGTCTATTTTACTCATGTTAAAGATATGAGCAAAGAAAGCATAATGAATCAATTGTTTCATTATTTAAGGATGTTCTCTATTTTGTAACAAAAAGCCCTGTTGCACTAAAATATCTTTCTACTTCAATCGACGATGATGGAATAGTTAACAGAGCATTGTACATTTGTTTAAATAAATGACTTTTGTTTATTTTTTCAAAAATGCTTATTTATCAAATATTTTCAAAGCATCAATTATATTGCAATGTCACCTTCCCAAAGTGAGTAAACTTACCTCAATGATTTATAATGATTCTACAATTCTTAATTTGCTTAATATCACAACGTGTGATATTAAGCAAATTTATATCTAAATGAATAACTTGCAAATTTATTAGTAATTATTTCATTATTTCTTTCAATTCCATGAACCATTGCCATCATTTAGTTATTTATTTAGTTTACCTTGAATGTAAGTCTTCGCGCGAAAGAGCAAAATGATCATGCGCAAAAGAGTAAATTGATCTATTCAAAAATAAATTTAGCATGACATACTTTATGAACCCTAATATAAAAACTTAGACAAAAACATTAATTTTAAGAATTGCCAAAAAAAAAAAGCTTTTTTTCAAGCCCTGCCATTCTTATATTTTTTAAATAACTTTTTAATTTTTCTCTAATCTGATCAGCATAATCAAGTGTAACTTTTTAAATTCCTGTCTAATTAATGGCATTTTTAAACTTTGAGCTTTTCATCGTTTTGTAATTTCTTCACTGTTCACCATAGTAGAAAATGGTATTTTATCTAAAACTGATTATTTGTTGACTTCGCACAAATTAATCCAGGACAAGAATTTTGTTTTTTTAAAGTAGGCTAAAATTAACTTTCGATAACTATTTGGTGCAACTGATGAGCTTCCTGACGCAGACTCTAAAAGAAGGTTGTGTTTGTTTTGCATCTGGTACATCAAGTATGAATTTAATAAATGAGATTTAAGTTTAGTGTCACAATGCTTGCATTTTAAAGTTCGTAAATCATTTATATTTTCTAATAAATAAATCCAAACTTTTGACTTTTTTAAACAGGGCCCAAATATCATTGTTGTCGCACATATTGTGGGATAAACCTATTCTATTAAACCTATTCTTTCATTACTTTGTATTTTTCTTCAGTATGGCTTGTTAAAAAATCTTTTAATATTTAATAATTATGTTGTTATAATCACATGACTTTATTGTATTTTGTTGTTAATAGTTTGTATACAGATAATTAAAAAATTTTGTATGGATTTTTTTATCACCTTTATACAAAAATTTAAACATTTAATTTTAATTGAAGATGACTAGTGGTAGTCAAAAAATGTATTAATTTTAACAATAAAATGGTTTATATATATATATATATATATATTATATATATATATATATATATATATATATATATATATATATATATAGTGTATATGTTACTATTACCTAATACTAATGTTTATAATATAGTTTAATATTGCAACTCAGAGTTTCATGTGTTACCAAAATCATCAGGCAAGTAGTAAAAGTTTAATTTTGCTACGATTTGTTTAGTGGTCGTTACGGTTTATATTTGTATTATGGATCGTTACGGGACGGAAATTGATTAGTAGTTAGGTTAATAATATTATTAATTTGTTTTTAGTTAGCTAATAGTTGTGTAATAGTTATGTTTAATGTTGTTTAAAATAATTGTTTATGTGATGCATTATTTATATATTAAAAAGTTAAAATTAAAATTGGTATAAAAATATATATAATATTATGAAGTATTTTATGTCAATGTGAGTAAATTATTAATTTGCCTAGAGATATATGGAGTAGATTAATATAGTTATTTTTACTTGTTATTTAAGTTTGTTGCAAGCTTTGTAATTTTTGAATAAGAATTTATTTTCATGGCGGTACTTTGATATAATTTTGGTTTTTTTATTTAGTAATTCCTCAGGTTTTTGATACGATCTAATAGCAAATTTCTCATACAGACATAGCGGGCACCTTTTAGAAATATTTGAGTAGGGAGTACAGACTTAAGAATAGACCATGTTAGTATAGGTCTATATATATATATATATATATATATATATATATATATATATATATATATATATATATATATATATATGTATATATATATATATATATATATATATATATATATATATATATATATATATATATATATATATATATATATATATATATATATATATATATATATATATAGTATTGGTCTATTGAGTGTGTATATATATATATGTATATGAATATATATATATATATATATTTATATATATATATTTATATATATATATATATCAGCGATATATCCAGGCCAATTTTGATACCGGTATACCAGTATGGGCCCCCAAATTTCAGCCCAAATTCAATTTAAAACAATTTTATATTAGCATTTGTTATGATATTAATGTCGTTTAAAAAACCAGCTTTTGAAAAACGACTTTTAAAATACATTATAAATGTATTTTAAGCCAACCAGAATGCTTAATTCGAATTCACGTTGATGAAGTATAGAATATGTTGTAATTGGATTAAATGTAAAACGCACGTTTTGATTGGATATGAAACGGTTAGCATTTTTAAATAACATTTTTAAAATACATTAATTTGAGTTTCTCCTCTGCTTAGTTTTCATAACATAATTTTCAAAGCAGTTAAACTATATGAGCTTTAAACTTTTTCATTTCAAATAACAGTAAAATTGTATTAAAAATACTTTAAATAATAAAACAAATAAAAGTTTTTAAAACATAATAACATTTTAATATTCGCACCAAAAAACTTGATTTGAAAAGTAAGAGTAGAAATAGAAAAAAAAGTTATTCATTTTTGAATGAAGTAATTAAAATTTTGAATGAATTTACCTTGTTATGCAATAAATACGCTATGTAATAAATCTTATCAAGTCTATAAAAAAGAGTCATGCAAATACTGTTTATTAAACGTTATAGTTATTGCTTGTTTATGAAATCATACTCCTTTATATTTCTAGTTATTAATATTTAATATTTTTAATTTAATAATTCAATTTAATAATTTAATATTTAGTATTAATTATAATTTATAATTAGTAAGCGAATAGAGTAAGTAAATGAAAAGTAGCGATTAGCAACGAATCGATGTTGGAGTTAAGGCCATCATTCTGTAATAAATGTCCTTTAAGGTCCTCTAAGGTAGATAGGATTTTTAGACCGGTATGCCCCAAAAATTTCTGGATATGTCACTGTATATATATATATATATATATATATATATATATATATATATATATATATATATATATATATATATATATATATATATATATATATATATATATATATATATATATATATATATAGGACTATGAATTGCAAAAAACAGAATTGTATCTGCATAAACTGTTCTCTTTGTCGTTCTGGTCGATTGTCAAGATTAACATACCTACAAGCAAAGAGGAGAATAATGGATTGGACTGATTTACAAAATTCAACTGCAACAAAAGAAGTAATAAAAGTTAAAACTTTTATAGAATATATAATAGTTTAAAGTAAAACTATTCTAGAATATATAATAGTTATATATATATATATATATATATATATATATA